GATCAAAAGTTATTTAAGATTTAAAAAGGTGTCAAATTATATCTGTTTTAGTACAATTGCAAAAATTAGCCGTAACGTGAATATTCATTACTTTAGTGGGTAAGTATAAGGAATATTTATTCATTTATGTATTTATATGAATATTCATTACTTTAGTGGGTGAGTATAAGGAGTATTTATTCATTTATGTATTTAAATAAGCTATTCAAGTTTATTAACAATAAATATTTGTTAATCTAAATATATATGCCATTTTATACATGTAAAATAATATCCTGTCAGATAAGGCATCAATAACATCAATCAGAATAATATTCTATTGATGCCCATTGATATCCTGTCAGATAGGGAGGGCATCAATAACATTATTCAGAATAATATCCCTATTGACCTCTTTTGGCTGGCAATAGGAATATCTATTGTGTCCTATTAAATATCATTTTACACGTGCAAGTAAAGTTGAATTACATCATGATTAATTGAATTATATTACTGTATTATTGGCCACTAAACTCTTTTTCAAACATTAGAAAAAAATTTACCACAGTAAAATTTTGTAAATATCTACTGTATAAATATCTATGAAATGATTTTTATATTTATGAAATGGTTTTCTATATTCTATATAATACAGAGATGCCATACTGATTTGCGTTATTTAGCAAGCTTGTTAATCCTTATTAACTACCAAGAAATTTTTTTCGAAATGTATAAAATGTTTTTTGAGGGAACAAAGACTCGAAAATACCAATCAAATCGGTTGTAGATCATTTTATAACACGACTTCCTAATTCTGTATAGTCCTGACTTTCGAACTATAAAAAAAAATAATTCATTTTTAATAATGCATGGACGTTATAACAGACATAGATACCATTTTTTACATCTAATTCCCAATTCGAGGTCAAACAATTGCACAGAATAAACAGAAGAACAAATTTCTAATCAAAAATATAAAAAAGATCCACCGGGATATTTACAAACTTAAAAAAATTTTTTTTAAAGTTTACAAAAAAATGACCGGCTGGAATATGAAAGCCAGTTTTAGCATAGCTCAAGTTGTAATCTTTGAATACAAAGTTACTATTCCACTTTTTAATAGATCTATTACACTATAAAAGTTGAAATCGTTAGTCGATAAAATCAGCTCATTTAGAATTTCCTGCAGGGCAATCGATTAACATTAAACAACCAATCGGTTAGTCAACCGATTAATTAACTAGATAAAACGAGTGTATAATGATTAAATCAACTAATCAAATCAATTGATGACTAAGCTGCAAAATTTTTAACCCTTAAAACCTGATATTTGTCTCACCAATATTAATCAAAAAACCCGGATCCAAAATGGTGGTGGGAATAAAGTGGTTAGATGTAATGAACGTGGGGGTAATGATAGACGATGATCTTTAAATCTGAGATATGTACATACGTATGTATTTTTGCTTGATAGGGGTTAATCGTTAATACGCGCGCCAAATTATACATTTTTTCAATATTGATTATACTTATATATTGTGTATTTAACGATTCAATCCACCTGGGCAACCGTTGTCATGCGTTTAAAAAAAGACAATTGATTTATGATCATATGCATGAACTACGTAAATACTTATTATGTGTTATACATAATGTAAACAATAAAGTAATCTGATTAGTATTATATTGTTAATCAAAGAGGACAATGCATATTTAATTGGGGGGATCAAAGCTTTGTTGCATACTTATATTTCGGATGTACAAGATGTGCATATATAAATAAGCATGATAGATAAATACCACCAAGTCTTTGATAATTTCATTTTGACCTTTGAATAACAGTAATAAAAAAAAAAGATGAATTCGCATAGGAATGGAAAAGGAATATCATTAATTCTTCATCGAAAACAAAATTCAAAATCATATTCAGAATTTACTTGCGAATCATCTCCAACAAGTCCTAAATCTATAACTAATTTCTTGTCACATAACGGTCCGATTGTTGATTATGTTAGATGGCAAGATGTTAGCGAGACATCGACCAAGGCCACGGAACTGTTTTCAAGGATGCACCATGAAATTATATTAACCATTTTGAAAGAGTTGGATTTTACTGATATTTTGGCCTTTTGTATGGTAAATTTACAATATAACTAACATGATGATAAAAAGTTATCTTTTATTAACCACATATTTATCTTTATTAATTGCATATATATATGTATATATATATATATATATATATATATATTTCTTCTTTTTTTTAAAAAAAAAGGTAAATAGAAGATGTAGGTTACATACTCAAGATCCCTATTTTTGGCATTTTATCCTAAAACGCGATTGGAAAGATTGGTTAGGATTCGAAAAAGTTCTAAAACGTTACAATATAGAACCAGAATTAACCGAAAAATTCAAATCTATCGATTACGATACACTGAATTTAAAACGAGCTTACATGACATTAGGTAACTATTAAATATTGCCTATTAAGTGTTTTAAGCTGCATGTAAATGCCGTAAATGATATGCATGTATATTTTTATTACCGTTACGTAGCAACCTTTAAATACCCAATGTCGGAAAGACGTGATGAATCAACGGATGGCACCGGAAGTTGGTGGGACAATGAAGAATATAAACTAATTCCTTCCAAAGAAAGGTATTGCCTTGTTATATACTATATATACTATATATTAAAATTTATCAAGCACTAAAATTTGAAACCTTATTGTTTATACGTACGTAGCGCATTTGGTAGTGTTATAAAACAAAGAACCAAATTGTTTCAGGTAAATTTAATATAAACAATATAAACAAGATAAACAATATAATTAAATGTATAAATTTAATAATTTTTTTTTAAATCGAATTAATATTAATAGCTTCAAGTTTGTCTTAAATATCCATCGCGGGGATGGTATGACGTTGTGTGGAGATTAAAAATTGATAAATTAATTGGAGAACCTGAATTTGGATTCTATACTACCATAGATACGATGGTAACTAATCCTCGAGTTCAAACCTGTTTATATCAAATTAATTTAGTTAATTCAAGTCTTATACGTAAACTGGTTTTACAATTAGGACCTTAAAACTCAAAATACATCTAGGCAAGTCTATAAATACATAGCTCAAAAATCTGATTTCACTCGGGTTATTGGCAAAGGATGGTTTTGTTTCATCTTACCCTACCCTATCCTCATCGAACCTTATAAATCCGTTCGAAATATTAAAGATATGAATTTACGTAAAACTACCAATTGTTTATTCGAATTTACCACTTTTAATAAGAATGCTCGATGGGGACATTCCTCAGATAATGGATTTGTATGTTTATAAAAAATCATTACCCCTTTGATTTAAATTTTATTTTTCTGAACTCTTGATCTTACAGTATTTTTTTTTAAAAAAAAAAATAGACGATTGATTATGTAGCGTTGAGACCACATGTTCATTATGACATTCCTCGAGGAAATCGGATCAGTTCCGGGAGCACTAGTTCAAGAAGTAGTGGTAGCGCTAGTTCAAGAAGTAGTGGTAGCGCAAAAAATGTCTCAAGGAGTAGGTTGATACAATATAAAGCGGGTCAGCTATTGGACACTTTTAGGAATTCAAAGTTGTTCGATTAAGGGTGCTCTCAAGCATCTTTCTCAGTGTAATTAGCTAGCTATTGAGATCGTGCACAAGTACTACGATTAATTGA